TGTTGGTGGGAGTATTAGTGAGTGTGAGTATGAGAAGGTAGCACTGTGCAGCAGTCAAGGACCACGTCTGGACTTGGTCTCTAGTCACGTCCCACACAGAAACTGGAACAGAGCACAGAGGCATTCGGCCCTAGCTTGTTTGGCTCAGTGGATAGCACGGCAGCCTGCGGGCTGAAAGGGCCCGGGTTCGATTCCAGTCAAGAAACATGTCCAGGATGATTCTCTCTCATCGTTGATGTCTTTCTCTCTCTTCCTCTCTGAAATCAATTTAAGAATTTATTTTAAAAGGAAAAGAGAGGCATTTAGGAGATCTGTGAGAGGTTTGTTCACATTTTTTCCCCATCTTTATTTTTTTTGGATTGTTCACATTTTTTTTTTTAAGATTTCAGAACAAGCTTCCTTAAGAATACCTGGTACATGCATTTTACTTGTTTGCTCTTTAATTTTCTGTCTAGCAGAGTGATCATTATACAGAGCTCATAAAGTCTGATAGTGATAAGGCCATAGCAACCACACGTGATGTGCGGGAGCCGGCTTGTACTGGCCTGTGAGAGTCTGTTGTTACATTTTCAGGAGTTTTGCAAGTTGGTTGTTAAACACAGCTATTACTAAAAATTAAATTATGCAAACTTCCAATTAAATAAATTATATTTAAAAAGAGGTACTAGCCCTAACCGGTTTGGCTTGGTGGATAGAGCATCGCCTACGGACTGAAGGGTCCTGGGTTCTATTCCGGTCAATAAAATATATTTTTAAAAATAAAAAAATAAATAAAAAGAGGTACTAAATATTAAAGTCATTACTTTCTAATTATTGTACTAGTTTGTGCTCTAGAGGTTATTTATGTCTATCACACGCTGGTGTCTGGTATTACACACACAATGGCAGATTTAACCAAACGTAGATCTAAAATATGGGGGGAAGGTTACGTTGTTGCTGGCCTGTACTATGTAATTAGGCCTATTATGGTTGCATCTGTACTGAACATGTACAGATTTTTCCTTCCTTTTATACCCTAACCATACAGTATGACTGCTGTTTACATAGTATTTACATTGTACTAAGTATTATAAATAACATAGAGATGATTTAAAGTATATGGGCAAGCCCTAACTGGTTTGGCTCAGTGGATAGAGCGCTGGCCTCCGGACTGAAGGGTTCCAGGTTCAATTCCGGTCAAGGGCATGCACCTTGGTTGCGGGCACATCCCTGTAGGGGGTGTGCAGGAGGCAGCTGATCGATGTTTCTCTCTCATCGATGTTTCTAACTCTCTATTCCTCTCCCTTCTTCTCTGTAAACAAATCAATAAAATATATTAAAATAAATAAATAAAGTATACCAGAGAACGTTCATAAATTATAAAGCACTTTGAGCATCTGCGGATCTGTGGATTTGGGTATCCTCAGGGATCCTGGCCCCAATTCCCCGAGGATACCAAGGGATGACTGTATCTAATGGCAGAAATATTATATAATGGGTTCTATGGTGATTCTCCTCTAACTCTGCTTTTGGTAATACCCTCCCGGCAACTTGAAATTAGCCATGTGGGAATATTTACACCACTCAAATGGGCAGATGCTCAAAACCAGCGCCTTTTCCCCAAAGGAGAACCAGTTGTTGAACATTCACTGGCACATCATGGCCTCTACTCTCCATTCCTGTCCCACTTTGCTACATCCCTCATTTTCCACTCCTTAAAGTGGCTGTTTGCATTGCTTTTAGCTATTTCTTTTTGCACTTATCCCTATATTCCTTAATTACCTGCTTCTACTGCCATGTTTTGATTTTTAAAATCTTAGACCTCATCTATTGACTTCCTATTATGGATGACAGGGATCTGGCTCTCTCCCAGCTCTATCTCCCCTCTCCCCCCACCCCCCATCCACTCCCCCCACACACACACATTCTTCCCTTACTTCTGTCCTCCCAGCACATTAAAGCGCAGCTCATATTTAAATAAATATTTGAAATTCCCATTATTACAACTATGTAAATAGTGTATGTAAATCATGCATTATGCTTGTATTAGCTTTCTTATATACAGCTTTTTTCATGGAGTTAATAATAGTATTTTTAATTTGCTTGATTTCTCTACAGGACATTGGTTTTCAAACTTTCCTTCTTACCAATGGGACTTGTCTTTCTAACAACATTTTATGCGAAACCCTCCTATGGACCACAGGAAAGCCAGAGCTGCCTAGTTTGAGAGCCTTCCCTTCACGGCTGCCACGTAGAGCATGTTGCTTGTGTGCTGCACACCTCACCCTTCCCAGAAACAATGGCGTGCTTAAGTCGTGATCATTACATTATTATCACCCACCCCATTGGGGGATGCATCCATTGTAGAGAGAGAGGTCCATCCACCTGGACCTATACATGACATCAGGATTATTCTCTGTTTCACAAAGACTCACTCCCTGCCCCGTGCAGGGCTCTGACCCTCCCACACTGAATAGGTCCCAGGGATGTTGCTTCGCCGGCCGCTCTGGTGCGTCACCCACAGGCTGCGGGCCAAAGCTGCGGTTAGCTGATGGCCATCCAGTGACTGATGCCTGGACCGGGCTGGGTGCCAAAAGCTTAATGCAATCGGCACTGCTCAGGGATCATTCCGACAATAACTGTCAGATATTGAACAGTCTTTATAATGTGGGGTCCAACGTCAGGAACGGCTCAGTCCGACAGTACGTGAGCAGACGGGGCAGGGCTGTCCGCCCAGGGACCTCAGAGCTGGAGGAGGGGAGCCGGCCGATGATGAGCCTTGGGCTTCACAGAGCTCAGCTTTGAGGATCCCCCGGGGCAGCGCCTGCATTTCAGGTTCAGCTGGGGAACCTTGCGCTTGTTGCTTAACCCTCTGGGCCTTCACTTCCTCATGCCTAGCTCCTAGGGTTGTCATAAGCATTAAAGAGGATAAGGTGTAACTCTGATAAATCCCAGGACCTCATGGGGTCAGTCTCTGCTTGCAGTCTCATTTTAAAAAACAGAGTTCCACAGTCTGAAAGAAACTGGAAAAGATGTGCCAGTTTTGAATTGCATCCCTTATGTCAAAGGGGATTCCATTCTTCATTGATATCCGCTCTCTCTGAATCTCTGATTTTTCCACTATGTACAGCTTCAGTAAAGTTTTCGGGAGGACAACCTCTGAGGCGTTTTTCCTCTCTCACTCCTTATTCCTCATCCTCCGTCCCATGGCCATTTCCTCTTAGGGCTCTTTTTTCTCTGCCCATCCTGCCACTGCTGTGTCACACACGGAAAATCAAAGGATTTGGAAACGAGCTGATAGAGATGCTGGCAGGACGTGGGTGGGGCGGTTATGGCAGGACAGCACTCCGCAGTCATGCCTGAGCCCTCGTGCTGGTGACGTACAGGGCACGTACAGGGCCTTGGCAGAAACTGGTTCTGCTCCTCATTTTTCAGTCCAGGAACCTAAAGGAGGGTGAGGTATGACCTACCTAAGGTGCCTCTGACTGCCTAACACCATTAGCAGATGAGCAGAGCTTCAAAGAACTCTATTTCCTCCCAACCCCAAAAAACTAGTATTAAAAGGTTGGAGCCTGGCTGATGTGACTCAGCAGTTAAGCATCAGCCCAAGTACCAAGAGGTCACTAGTTCGATTCCAGGTTAGGGCACATGCCCAGGATGCAGACTTGATCCCCAGTAGAAGGTGCACGAGGCAGCTAATTGATGATGTTTCTCTCTCATTGATGTTTCTATCTCTCTAACCCTCTGACTTCTTCTCTCTCTAAAACTCAATAAAACATTTTTTTTTAAAAAGGTGAAGCACAGCTTCTGCCTACAATTTTCCTTCCTTTCCTTGTCACTCTTATAGCCTTTAAGCATGGACCTAGCCTTCCCGTATCCCCCATCCCCACATCCCTTGCTCCATTTTTGGTGGACTCTATTCCCTTCACAGGGTGTCTTTCAGATCATGAACTGAGCATTTACTATGTGCCAGGCTTATTAAAAGCTGGAGATTTGGAGACACAGACCCTGTCCTCAGGTGCTCATACATGGAAACAGACTGCAACTCCATGTGATGATGCTATCATGGAGGAAAGCCCAGAATGCTGTGAGCGTACAGAGGAGGAGCTCTTAACCCATAGAGATCAGGGAAGACTTCCTGGAGGAGGTGTCATCTAGCCTGTCCAACAACAATAGCTGTCAGATAGTCAACAGTCTTTATAATGATAATCTACACATTAAAAACCTTGCTAAGCACATTCGCTCATTTAATGTTCACAGCGATGCTAAGAGGTAGGCATTGCTATCCTCATTTCAGAAATGGAGAAACCAAGGCTAAGAGAAATTCACTGACTTTCCCGAGGCTGCATAGCTGTCAGGTGGCAGAGCTGCGATTCAAACGCAAGCGTGTGTGACTCCGAAGACTGAGACTTACCCACAGGGTGCTGTGTACAAGTGTCTAAGACGCACCTGAGCAAGCCTGCCTCATCACCGTAGGTCTCAGGCAGAACCCGCTACTTAAATGACAGTGGTTAGGTGGCCTTTGTATTGGTCATTCATCTTAACTTCAAACGTTTTTACTTGAGGAAGAGGCACTTTTTTGCTAATTTGCACAAAATGCCATATGGACCACCGTGTCCACCCCTCCCCCACCCCCATGACATGCAGTGTTGGGGAGGACACAGCCACATAGCAATTTGGCCTAGCCTGATCAGGAACTCAAAGACGAATAAGACATTTTATTTACTTACATATTTTTAATGAATTTGACTATTTTTTAAAAATAATTCTTTATTGTTGAAATTATTACATATGTCCCCTTTTTCCCCCATTGACCCCCTCCAGCCTACTCCCACCCCCCACCCAGGCCCTCACCGCCCCATTGTCTGTGGCTGTGGACCATTGTCTGTGGCTGTGGACCATTGTCTGTGGCTGTGGACCATTGTCTGTGGCCATGCACGAATAAGACGGTTAGAAGCCAGAATAAAGGCTCTCTGTTCAGGGCCATCCAACTAACCTCCTTCTCTCTCTCTTCTCCGCAGACAGGCAGGATTGAACCCAACTACCCCAAGGTCTGTGGTCACCAGGGGAATGTGCTGGACATCAAGTGGAACCCTTTCATTGACAACATCATTGCCTCATGCTCGGAGGACACGTCGGTGAGCAGGAGGGGTGCCCCAAGGAAGGGGGTCACCTTCCTTCTTAAACTCTCCTCCTTCTCCCTTCTTAGCCCTCTGACCCAGGATGGGGAGGGGAGTTAGGAAAACAACTCAGAGAGAGAATCTTGTGCTATTAGAGCCATTTCATTTGGAGGTGTTGATTTTATAGGTGAGAATTCGAACAAGATTAAATAAGTGAGTTGGCACCTGTTTGTGGTCTCCAAAGGAGAAAGGCAGTAGGGGGAACATGGACAGGGAAGAAGGGGAAAGGGGAGGAAATGGATGAGGCATGAGGAAAAGAGCCCTTTTTGCAGGCTGGGCATGGCATATGCACCATCTGGCTTTGTCCCCTGGGAGCCGTGGCGTTAGGGAAGGATCCTGGCCTGAGCATTGCCATCACTTGTCCAACGATCCACAATGGTGGCCGGCATTTGAATTCTATGTCCCACCACTTACTTGGAAGAAAGAAGAAATAGGAGAAGAGAAATGAGGAGAAGGGAGCAGGGGGAGATGGAGGGAAGAGGAAAAGAGAACAGGTAGGAGAGATGGGGGTGGGAGGAAGAAAGGAACAGAAAGAATTTGAAGAGGAGAGATAAAGAATCCAGGGAGAGACAAACTTGAAGTTGTTTTCTGGCCAGCCTTCCCCTAAGCTCTGCTGATTTTCACAGGGTGAGATAGCGTCAGGTGTTGGCAATAGCCTTCACATTTCTGCAGTGTTTCCCAAAGTGTGGTACGTGTACCCCCAGGGGTACAGGAAGAGTTTGGTGGGGGTACGCGTTGCATCGGAGTTTGGTGGGGATATGCACTGCACCGTGCTTAGCTGCGCCTAATTCTACATTCTCATGAGTACGAGGGGTACTCAGCGTTACGAAAATTATCGAAGGGGTACACATATGTCAAAAGTTCGGGAAACACTGCTGTAGAGGGTCCCTCTGTCTAGTCTCACATGGCCTTGAACAATACACCAGCTTAGAAGCAAGAGGGGATTTCGAAGCATCAATTCCCAAGTGAAGGAAGGGTCACAAGCCTTTCAGTAGGGTCATAAGCATCTGCCTGGCGCTCACTGGCATATCCTGATCCTGGGTACAGGTCATAGGCTCCCAGGATATTGGAACTAAAAAGGACTTCAAAGCTCATGTCTCCAGACTGGACTGTGAGCTCCTGAGAAAAGAGGTTCTGAATCCCAAGCATCTAGCACAGAGCCTGCTACCTAGTAAATGCTTAGCATGTATTGGATGGCATGGATGATTGGACGGGTGGCTATATGGGTGGAGAGATGAATGGATGGATGACTACACTGATGGATAAAGACGTGACTGAACGGATGGATAATGGACAGATGAATGGAAGGAAGGATGATTGGATGAAGGTGAATGGAAAGATAAATGTGTGAGTGAATAAATATAGCCCAACTAATCAGTTATCCAAAGAAAGAGAGTCACAGTAAATAGTCTCCGTTGGTACATAAAGTTGGGGGAGGAGGTCAGCTGGCACAGTACCTAGTAAATGAGAGCAGTAGGGAGGGGGCTAGGAGAGTGGAAGGGTCAAAGCCCTACATCAGCCCAAGAGGGTTTCTGAGAGTAACAGCAGCAGCAAGAGCAGGGCCCACGTGAACAGAGGACCAAGAACTGGTGGTGACACAGGCCATGAGGTTCGGTTACTTTCTTCAACTAAATGGGCACAGTGCCCAGGGGTCAGAGCACAGGCAGGCCAGAGAATGGACACAAGATGATGGAGCCTAGGAAGAATGAGGTCACTGATGGCTTCTGGGCTGGAAGGCAGCTGGAGCTGGTGGGGGCTGGAGAGGTCAGTGGTCAGTGCAGGTAGGGTCTGGGCTCAGTGGGAGAGAGGGTAGGTGGAGGCACTGCCCATCCTTCTCCTGTGGGCGCAGGAAGCCCTAGCAACCACAGCTGACTCCATCGCTGCTCACTAAGGTATTGAGTGACTGTCACCAGCCATCAGGGAGCAAATGTCCCTGAAACTCAGGGCTGCCTTATCCCGATCTCCTCCGCCCAGCTGAGGCTGGACACGTAAACACAGTGAGCCCTCCCAGCCACCCTGCGAGCAGGCACTGCCACCCCAAACTGAGGGTTGGGACAGGTCACACAACCAGGAAGTCGAGGAGGGCTTGTGGTCCCAAGCCCTTCCTGCTCTATGGTCCCATCATGACATGAGCCCATGGGGTTTGTGGGAAGCCTCGGGGCCCTCCCAGTCTCTCGTGTCCCTCCGGGGAGCCAGCCGGGACAGAGAAGAGCAGAGTCCCGCTGTCTGTGGGGAGGGACAGGTTAGGCCACGAGTCTTGGGTCACTAGCTATCCTGGCTCCACCGCAGCTGGAGACTTCTGCCTGGTCAGCGTAGGGTGCCAGGTTTCTGGTGCTGATGGCCCTGCCCAGTTCCAGCTCAGCACCTTACTTCACCCGAGAGTTGGGCACCACTTGCTAAAGGACCGCAGCTGATAAACCAGGCACCCATGCGTGTGGTCAAGAAAAGCACAGGGCCCCAGCCCAGGCCACACAGGCCACACGCTCCCTTCAGCCTCACACACATGACAGGAGGACCACGGTGTGCCCGCCTGCTCCTGGGCACTGGCTTCAGAGCAAGCTTGGCCATGGACTCAGACTGACCTGGGATGGAACCTCAGCTTCACCGTGAACCAGCTGGGTGACCAGGCCGTGCTGCTTACCTTCCTGAGCCTCCGTTGTGCTCATCTTCATCACAGTACTAACGATATCCTGTGGCAGCTGCCTTGAGGATGAAAGGAGGTCTGTGCCTGCCAATCGCAGTCCAGCCCAGGAAACTCCATGAGCAGAGGGGCAGCGTCACGCCCCACTCCCTGAGATGCAATGCAGAATGACGTCGCTGTAGCCACGAAGGTCCAACAGGGCTGTGTGTCCAGGGAGGAGAGAGGGGTTAATTCTGACCACGGTGCAGGCAGGGCAGAGGGGGTAGGGAGAGCTGGACTTTGGAGAAGGAGGACTTTGAAGGCAGACAAAGGGTGTAAGGATGTCCAGGAAGAGAGCAGAGGCACAGACCTGGAGGGAGTGTGCCTTAGGCAGCGTAGGCCAGTGTGACAGCGTATCACAGAGCGAGTGGCTTATAAACGACAGAAGTCATTGCTCACAGCTCTGGAGGCTGGAAAGCCAGAGGTCAGGGTATCAGCTGGTCAGGTGTCGCACTGTGTCCTCATTCCATGGAAGGGGCTTGGGAGCCCTCTAGAGTCTCTTTCACCGGCACGAATCCAGATCACGAGGGCTCCACCCTCGTGACCTAATCCCCTCCCAAGGGCCTCCCTTCCTCATAGCATCACCTCTGGGGGGTTAGGATTTCCACATATGAATTCGGGGGCCACACGAGCCTTCAGACCAGAGCAGAATGCATACGGAGTGTTTGGGAAATGGAGGTGTCTGGTGTGGCTGGGGAGCTGGCCAGGGAGAGGAGCGGGCAGGAGAGGGGCGCGGAGGGAGGCTGGCAGCAGAGAGAGAGCAGCCGGGGATGCCAGGGGAGCAGCTGCACTTTGAAGTGAGGCCCGGGCCTCTGAGCCTAAGCCGGGGCACAGGTGTGCGGTGTGTGGCTGACGCCTGTGCCCAGGGAGGGCCCCGGGAGGGGGATTAGTGGGGCTGAAGGGTCAGAACCAGCTTTGTGAAGGAGAGGCCCTGAGCCAGCTGGACATGTGCTGGAATGTGACTCCACAGAGAAGGGGAGCACCCAGGGGAGCGTGTGAAGAGAAGGGAGACCCAGCAGGGAGGGGGTGGGGGCGGCACAGGGAGGGCGGGGCCAGCCCAGGCTGCTGATCCAGAGAGAAGGAGGTTAAGTCTCCAGACAGAGGCGCTAAGCTCTTGCTCTGGTTGCCGGGCTGGGCAGCAGCTTGGCGCCCTGCTTTGTCCCACAGGCCTCTGCCCCTTCCCAGCCTCAGGGCCAAGGGTCTTGGCCCGGAGCCCACAGGCCCCTGAGGTGGAGGCCCCGGTCACACAAGGGGTCTGTGTCTCAGCTCTCCTGACTCCCCGCCAGCACTCTGAGCACCTCACCCCCAGCTGTAGCTTCAACGGTGAGGAAACTGAGGTTCAGCTCCATCAGACACTCAACAGTTACCGCTCAGCCTTCTCTCTGTGCGCAGCCCACGTGGCAGCTTGGCCAGTTCCCAGGAGAGAGGAGCCTGCGGACCTGCCAGGGGTGTTCCGGCAGACCCCAGGACATTGGAACTAGAAAGGACATCAGCCACATCAGCTTCCCTAAACGCCCCTCCCTGCATGTCCCTCTGGGCCTCCTGGGCAGGTCTCTGAGACACCCTCCCGCCACCACTCCGCCAAAGGGTCAGTTTCACTGCACATCAGAAACGACATCCAGAACCGGGTTAAGAGGTCAGGCAGCAAGCTGCCGTGTGCTCGGGGCTGTGCTACCCGCGGGCCGGGTAGGGGAGCAGCCTGGGGGCCCAGGGAGAAGCTGCCACAGCAGGTCTTGCCCATGTCTTTGCCTGTTCGCCCATTCCTACCCTCCATTGCCTCTCCTTGTCTCAGAACATGCTGAGGACACTGATGGAATCTAGCAAGCCTCCACCCGCTCCCAGCTCCTTTCCCATATACCCCCACTCCCTTGATAAATCTCCAGTGACAGTGACACCCACCCGCCATGTCCCTCGGGATCAGCCTCCCCCCCACCCCCAGCCTCCCTCCCTTGCTTCCCTCCCCCAGAGTCTAACCCACCCTTCCCAGGATCCAGTGGAATAGACCCCGGCCCGTTCCCAAGGGCTCCTGTCCTGAGGGAGGGTGGGGGCCGTCACTCTCCTGGCATCTGGCAGAATCCAGTTCTTGCCACTGCTGGGTGATGTCACCTATTGTTGAAGGGCTGTGCTTTTTATAGCTTCTGCCGCAGCTAGGGCGGGCTGGCAGGCGCGGGGAAGGGCGCTCTGGGTTTCCAAGCCCCTGCTCTCAGCACTTCTCCGGCAGGCAGCCGCATAGGGAGAGATTTCTGACATCTCAAGGAGAGGAGAGCCTGGTCTCAGG